CTGGAACAAAATTGGCTTTCATTTCCTCCTATGGACTGTACACACCAACTGAAAATCAGACATTTTAGAATAATAATACTACCTGTTTTTAAGTGGGAAAAGCACTAATATTTGAAGTGAATAAAGTATGGTTATGTACTAAGCTTGAAACTAATGTGGTTAAAAATATTACTGTAAATCTCCCATTTTGTTATCAACATTCACTTTATCCAACTTTGGAATAATACACATTTTTCTCTTTAGAATTGTTTTATTACTCTTTTAATGATATTAGATGCATTAAAGGAATATTTGTAAAGATAAAAGTATGAACACTGGAGCAGAGATTTGTGTACTCATCTAAATTAAGAATCAAATCAGATGTTGCCAATTCTGGGCTCATACGGATCCTGCCCTCTGCCTCCCACCCATACTCCTCTCCTGGCCCAGAGAATGCCATGCTGAATTTTGGGTTTTCATGTATGTGAACATAATCAGACATATGTGGCTGGGCTTGTGTGTACTTTGTAAAAACAGTTTCACACTGCATACTCCAGTGGCTCATGTCTTCATTCACCACTGTGCTCCTAAGGTCAACACTGGTAAGCTGTGTCTCATCCGTGTTTACTGGTAGGTAATGTGCCATTGTGCAGATGGACCGGTTTATTTACCAGTCCCCGTCGACGTGCTCAGGTTGTGTCCAGGTTGGCAGCACAACCTTGCCTGTGTCTCCCAGTGCACATGTACCAAGGTTCCTCAGGACAGCCGCGCTCAGACTGGACAAGATCACGCGCAGGAGCTTGTCTGCAGCGCAGATTCTTGCGTCCTACTGAAACGTTCTGGGTTGGCAGCTATGGAGTCAGACCCAGGAACCTCCATTTTAAGACTTGCAAGGTCTCCGGATACCACACTTTAATAAACCATGTTCTTAACTGTATCCCTATTTTTTGCTGGAGCGGGAAGCATGCACACATCCAGACGTACAAACAGTACTTTCCAATTTCCAATTTAGTTTATATACAAACCAGTAAGTGCATATAAAATATTCCAACAATTTATGTGCTTGGCAGAGCTTTTATCAATCTAACAGTTCTGAGATGGTACTTTGTTTTGGTCTTAATTTTCATTTTTAAAATTTCTGTATGTATTTATTGGCTATTTAGCTTTCTCTTTTGTGACATACTTATGTTTGTCCCATTCTCCTGAAAACATGTAGACTTTTATTATCCTGAATATTCATCTTTTGTAGATTATATATGCTACAACTACAATTTGTGATTTATCATTTCACTCTAAGGTGTCCTATAATCTTTTACTTTTAATATACTTAAATGTATCAATCTTTCTAGTATGGCTAATGCATTTTTAGATATTTAATAAAGTCAAAGTCACAAAAATGTTTTTTAAAAAATATCGTTTTTCCTTTAATATATAATGTGAAATTTTCTTTTGGTGTGAGGTAGGGATCGAAGTTCCTCGTTCTCCCCCAACCCCTCAAATATGGATAACCAGTACCATTAGAACCATTACGAAAATAGGCCACTTTCTTCCAGTGATCTGTGATTAAATAAGCAGAAATATTTCAAGTTTACATATTGGCAAGAGTCAACCTGGCATACTATTCCACTGGTCAGTTCTTCTGTTTCCAGTGCCAATATCACACTTTATGGGCCACAGCCCTTCCAGGTCTAAGGTAAATCTATTGTTCTCCTTTCTTCCTCCTCCTTTCTCTCCTTGGACATCTCATTAACCATGGCCTTTTCTCTTTCTAATAAATTTAAGATCAGATTGTCATATCCCTCAAAACACTAGGGTGAGCTGGACTGGAACTGCACTTAATCTACTTGCCAACATGAAGAGCTGACATTTTTACAATATTGACTCTTCCTATTAATGCACACGATAGTCTCTCATTTTGTCTTTTTCAATGTCTTTGCAACACTTTATGTTACTAATATTCTAATGGATAATTTCAAGCCTTTTTTCTTTGTCAGTTGTTCCCCAGCAGGTACCCTATGTTTTTGTCATTAGCATAAAATGTGAACTTTTCAGATAATGAGTGATGCATTTCAATGGTTCTAAAATTTAAAAACTGTGATACACCAAAAAGTCACTTCTACCCCAGTTCTTACATTTCCCAACCCCCCCTTACAATAACCACTTTTTATCATTTTTTTTCTTTCCAATGTGTTTTCCTTCTTTGTAGTGACCCTTGAAATTTTGCAATATATATATATATTGCAATATATATATATCATATATATATACATATGATAAAGACTAAAATGAATCATTATTTCATTCTTCCAGCCAAACAAAAACAGAAATTTAAACCAGTAACTCCAAGCATGTACAAGTGAGAACTCTGACCTATCCAGAACCAAAGTATCACCACACACACACGCCAACACATACACCCAAAGGCCCGGGACATAACCAAAACCTGAACACCAGAACCCTTTCTTCAGAAGCCCTGTTGTCCAGGAAAATCTGGTGTTGATGCCCCTTAACATAAACGGCCAAGTTCCAGGGCCCTCCAATTAAAACTTCCCCACCAGCACTTCTGCATATGTGTTCCCACTCAACCTTTAAAAACCCTCAACCTAACCCAGTGTGGCTCAGGGATTGAGTGCAGTCCTATGAACCAGGTCACGGTTCAATTCTCAGTCAGGGCACATGCCTAGGGTTGCAAGCTTGATCCCCAATAGGGGGCGTGCAGGAAGAAGTCGATCAATGATTCTCTTTCATCATTGATGTTTCTCTCTCTCTCTCTCCTTCTCCCTTCCTCTCTGAAATCAATAAAAATATAAAGAAACCCTCAAACTAGTCCAATGAGCAAGCTGGATTTGAGAGGCACAATTAGTCTCCCATCTTGTTTGGTGCCTTCTCAGGCAAGAAAGTTTTCCTTACCCCCAAAAATAAACCACTAAGTCCAATCAGACACTATTTTATATGGCTGTCTGCTGAGATGTTTGTCTATTTTGAAACCATTCTTTTGTGACTTGTTCTCCCTACATTATCTCAAAAAACTCCATCAGAAAAGGCGATCTAGTGAAAACTTTATCCCCACATTATCTGTATTTCACACATTCTCCAGAGGCAGTTTGCTGAGCACACAACTCTAGTTATTTTCTCTTAGTACATTAGCATTGTTTTCACTCAGGTGAAGCTATTGAAAACTGAGTTTCTCAGTTCTAGTTCCAAAAATTTCAGGAGAGGATCTTGAAGGCCCAGTTTGGATTGGATGGAGCATAAAATAACCACTCATTCAGAACCTGTGATGATGAAGGGCAGGCATGGCACCCAGAATGTGAGAGGAAGTGTTTGTGTCATGGTGGTGACAAAATGCCCAGCAGTCAGAAGTAAACAAATTTAGCTAAGGTAACTGAAACCCAATGTTTCTAAATAGTGATTAAAATTTCCTAACACACCCCATTACCATTTTCTTTAGGGAAAAATCCTTCTCATACATTCTAGGTTGTGCTCGATTCATCCTTTGGGTAACTAAGGAACGCCCGAGGGCAAAGCTATACGCTCCGGTAACAGCATTTTCTGTCACACACCTAAATTATGGAATAAACAGCCCTGCCTTCGAGCAAGACCTGCCTGGTCTCCTTCCAAGTCAGACCTCAAGGCCATGCTCTTCCCCCACCGCACTGTGGCCATGTCTTCTACCTGCACGGCTCCCGGTGACCCCTCAGTCTGTCCCAAGTCAGTGAGCGCACGACATGGAGCAAACCACTCTCCCCGAAGCTGCTTGCAGGACTCAGGGCCCGTCCCTCCCCCTCCTCACCTGGTGTCCTCCCTTGGTTCTGTGTGCGACTTCCCTTGCTCCTTGGTCACCCTTCAGTTCCTGCCACCCTCACCAACCTTCATGCTCAAGATTAAACCTCAGCTCTTTGGAGATATCTGGACCAAACTATCTGAAGCAGCTCCCTTTGTTGCTCTCTACCCAAGCCCACAAATCACAAATGGACATCACTTGCCAATCACACAGACTTTTAAGATCCACAGATCTGCTTAGTCTTTTATTTTTTACCAAAAGCTGCTTAAAGATATTTCATTAGAATTAATTTTAAATTACACAACACTTTTATCTGACTTCTGATTTCATTTGTAGCTTCTTCCCTCCGTAATATGGACTATATATGTTGTACATAGTAACTGAGGTGTTCTCAATTTTTGGAATAATTTAACTTCTAATTTATTAAGAGAAAACAAAACTTATGAATAGTAGAGGAGACATAAATCTTGGTGGCATTTTGATGACATCATAGTAATACAAGTCTTGCCTTCTTGATTCTTTATACTAATATGTGAAGTTTTAAATGTAACTGAAGATGTAATTTCACCAATAATCACGTTTTTGAAGAGTAACGTAGAGGGTTAAGCAAGCAGTGGAGAGTTTCTGAATGTACAGCCAATGCCTGTGCAACGAGCCTTCACACCTGAAAAGGGGGCCACTGGCAGGCAGGACACACCAGGGAGTGTTAACACCTCCTGAGGTTCCTGCGGCCAGCACAAGGCTTCACTCACGTGGGTAAGAACAGAAGGGAAGACCGGCAGCCGCCACAGATCCTGACTTGCACTCACTCTCCTGCAGAAAATGCGGTCGACTTTCTAAAACTGCAATTTTTAAAACTTTCGAACAAGCTTACCTGTCTATGAAAAGAACCAGACAAGCATCTTATGAGACGCTGAGGAACTTTGAGAAATACCTGTATTAGGTCTAATTGTTAATGCCCTTCAGAAAAATTTGAGATAGGAATAAAGGAATGGAAAAGCATAATTATGTATCGCTTAATATTAGCCTCTAACAAACAGATAGAAAATATAACACAATTGCTCTTTTAAGTCTAGAATTTATATTTTCAAATCTGCAATCCTATAATTAGAAATTTGTTCAATTTCTACATCATTGTGATATCCAGTAGCTATTAACAAAATTGCACCAAAATAAAACATAAAAAAGGTAACATAATAAAAAGAGACTCCTAATAACAAAACTTTTACAATAGTAATTATGGAACATGGATTTTTAATGAATTTCATTTTGCAATGAAGACACTGAACACTTAAAAACAATTACATCAATACAATAAAAACACTTGCTTCTACACAACACTTACAAAGGTGTACTTCCTCCAAAGAAACTTGTTTTTCACAGATTTAAGCAACAAATAATTTTACAAAGGATTCTTCAGATGGCAAAATATGTACAGAATCTTTGACTCTACAGAAACCAATGTGCAGTGGTTGAAAAGGAGTGTTGCTTTGTCCAATGCATCTTGTACAAAATTCTCTATCAACGCATATTTTTCAGTAACCACATTCTCTTTGCATTATTAAATGAAATTCTGGACATCATATAGGAGAAAACAATTCCCATTTCAAAACACTATTTCAGATGAGATCACTTGTGGCTGATGACATGACAATTTCAGCCACACAAACATTCATACACACACACATATTCAAGCACATACATGCACACACTATCACTAATCTCCTTCATGACTCCTGAAATCACCAGCAATATGACCAGAGCAGCTGGAAGGATGCCCTCAGAGGACACACAGCAGGTAGCAGAAGCGTGTCCTGCTCCTGGGAACAGCCCCAGCTCCCTGAGGCCTTCTGCACTCAAGGAGACAGGGAGGCTGGCCCCTCCACTTAGCAACGTGAGCAGCTGTCGGCCATGAAGGGCATTGGTCTGCACAGAATTAAATGGCCATCACAACATATATTTTAAAACTTCAAATTTTTTTTAATCTTTTTATTGATTTTTTCAGAGAGCGAGGAAGGGAGAGGGATAGAGAAATGGAAACATCAATGAGAAACATTGCTCGGCTACCTCCTGCACCCACCCCCTTACTGGGGATCGAGCCAGCAACCAAGGGCATGTGCCCTGACCAGGAATTGAACCAGGGACTTCTTGTTTCATGGGTTGACACCAGGCAAGCTAAAAGTTTCAAATTTTTTAATCTGGAAGAGATCTGGTTCTTAAGTTTGATTTACCTATTTGTATACATTTTTCAGTGTTCCTAATGGTGATTCTAAGACAGCCAGACATTCAAATTAAAACACAAGAGGAACCCAAGAGTGCGGTTACGCAACTTATCATTAAGAACTCACTGTGCTCATGTCTTTGGGGTGAGGTGCGGTAGAGAAGGTGTGACCATCAGCCATCTCAGCACGAGACCACTCAGGAGAGCAGTGCCTGAACCTGGTGCTTAGACCCATAGTGACCAGCTGACTTGGTTCTCAAACAGTGTGCTTAGGGCAAATGTCACACTTTAAAAATACAACCAATTCTTTAGCTTTAAAAATAAAGTCGCTCTAAAGCATTGTTTGTCCTTCGTTAGCAACCTCAACTCTATTATTATTACTGGCTTTTCCTGGTCTCTCTCCCTTCCAGGCTCTGTAAATCATTTCAGAATCACCAAGGACTCAGGGCTGAAGTTTCAAAAATTAGCTACTGTAGGACCGAGCCCAGGCGCTCCACCCCAGGGCAGCCTGCAGCGAATGGTGCCCAGCTGTGTCACTACAAAATAGGAGACACAGGAATGGGTCGTTTTCAACGTTACCCTCTTGTATCTCTCCAAGGGGCCAGTTTCCGACATATTCAAAGGATTAAAAATATGAGGAGCAGTACACTGAGATGTCTTCTTTATCAAAACTGTAACTCAACAATAACACAAACTCACAAACATCAAACACAGTAACTGCTAAGAAGGCAAGGGTGACAGGCCCACTCCAGCAGTGGGAGGGTTGGCACTGAGAGGTGTCCTGGCGGCTGAGACAGGAGCATCTTGTCACCTGTGAACTATGGCTGCGGCTGCCACCCTGGTAGCTAGCTAATGCAAGTGCCTTTCCATTACATTTGCTGATTGTCTTTCTTGCCTTCTGAACTGAACTCAGTATTCCAGCTAAAAGCCAAAGTGCTTAGTTAGCTAGGCACAGTAAGACTCCCAAGTTTTCCAAACATTTATTTTTGAGGTAGTACTCATTTATTTGCATTGTTGGCTCTCAAATACCACCAAAGAAGTGAACCCATGTAGAAATATGCAAACCAAAGGTGTAGAAAATAAATAAGGTTTTGTCTTCAGGTAGCACAGCCTTCTTAAAAAGGTCAAGTCACATTTAATGGATAAGTTATTTGAAACTTCTAAAAATTGTTTATAACCACAGCTATAAACTAAAGTGCTTTAAATTTTGCTTACGATCTGAAATTGGTGATTAGAATCATCATATTTTAGAATTTGCTAATATGAGACCTCAGGGTATTGAAATGATTTTCTATAAAAAGAACAAACTTTTTCTTAAAAAAAAAAAAATGAATCCTGCAAACTCAACATCTGATGCTATTTTTTTTAACTTCTAAGATCCAGGTTAATTTCACAGAACTGTAAGAGGATGAAGAGCTGAAGCTGAATTACAACAGAACGTGCTACAACTTCACATGGAAGTAAACATAAAATTTTTTGCCAATCCCACCATTCATCAGCCAACGCAAACACAGCTCTGCAGTCTCCCAGGACAAGGTAGATATGTAGGATTATTCCAGAAATGCCACAGACTTACACTCACAGTAAGTACACAGGTTCACATTGAACTCACACAAGTGTGATGCCCTCCTGTCATTATGTCAAATGCCACGTGCTAAGGGAGCGGCTTTGTTCCCACTGACCAGAGGATGCCAGCACAGACAAGACGGAATAAAAACATAACCACAGTTCTGTACATCATGCAAGCTGGGTACAATGGGAAAAGGACATATACAAATCACCCTTCTCAGGGTCCAGCTCTCACAAAAATGGCTGATCGGTATGAGAAAAGCCTGCTCCAGTCACAGGTCCGTGGCAAACTATGAAACTAAGGAATGCCGGCACCTTATTTTTCCTGTAACAATGCAGGGATGTTGATGTTCCAGCCTATGGCTTGCCTGTCAAACCCGCAGGTGAACAGATTGCAGGTGGGGTGGTCCTCGCTCCACGCCGAGCAGCACACCATTCTTCTGTGGCCCTATTACCAAGCACACAAACCAGAATTAGTGTATTATTCCTCAAACATAAGGGCTGTAAAACCTCAACCAAATTAACAACTACATCACTCAAAGCAACCAAATTGAGAGAGAAAAAATTAATGCTCAGGATTAATCAGAATGAGACAAAAATACTGAGTTGGCAGCAGGTTCTCAGGGATGAGCTGGTGGAAAGGCCATGATGAATGAATGAGGTCAGACACAACATGAATCTAGTGAGACACACCAAAAGCACTCATGATTCTTTAAGAAAATGAGTAAGATTACAGTCCGAAAGAAAAAATAATCAATTTTTTAAATTTTAATAAATGAATCTAGGTAAATTTGGGAATAAACTCAATAAAATTCACCCAAAGACCTCAAATATCATTTTAACAAATAATTGGTTCAGATGTTCAAGCAGTTAAAAACACATTCGGTGTCAAATGTAAAAAAGGAAAAATGAATGGCCTTTCAAGTAGATTCCCAATAGCTTTAGAAATTCCGGTTCAATACCACAATGTTGGGAAAAATTACTGCAAAACGTACAAAGTTTACAGTGTGATGTTTGGTATATACAGGCAGAGATGCAAGCAATGCCTTAGGACATAGTCATTGTTACAGTAATACTTGGCTGGTGCTATATCATACAATAAAGTACAAGAAGGATTAGAAACAGCTAACAGAAATTTAGTAAAAGAAACCCTCAAAAGAATGGCACAACAGCTCCCTCTGGAAAACATTCGCATTTGAATGCTGCTGGTTTTAGAGAGAATCAGGCCACAAAGGGAAAGCCCTGCAAGAAAGGAGCCCCAGAATGAAGGGTTAAGGGCGCTCTCCTACACCTCTTTGTTAGGAACTTGAGAAGAGAGAATGCATAAGCATCCACTAGCTGGCAGTAAAAATCAAGCCTCTAGAAAGAACTAGTTCAAGATGATAAACTCAAGACACTCACTGGACCAACACTGAGATCACGTCCTACTACCTAGTGAGGGAAAGGACCAGGCAGCACCTGCAAATGTGGGTCCAATCCAGGATCTCAGTCCTGCCTGAGCTGGGAGCCCGCACTAGGTGAGTCATCCTTTCATCTCATGTACATCCCCCGCCAGAGTGCACACAGACATGACCCAAAAAAGGCTCAGGGCACATGCAGACTTTGAAACCACTCTGGGCCCTCCTAGTCACAGAGCCACGCTAAAACTTCTCTGCTCCTGCAGCACAGATCCTGTGCGCCGTCTGTAGATCACCTTTCACTGCACACGGCACCACCCCCTCCCTGAGCTCCTGATCACAGTCCACACTCTGGGAAACGGCACTTACACTTTCCCCAAAGTAAAACAATTCCATATCGTAAGCCCCTGACCCTCTAGTGACCAAGTTGAACTGAGTTTCGTTGTCTCCTTATAAAGCTGTCAGCTGAAAGAAGCTGGGACAACATGAACCGGGGATTTCTAGCTGTGGTTCTGTGAGACCAAAAAGTATACTGATTCATCTGAAATGTTACAGGTTCAGAATGAAATGAAATGTGATTCATTAACCTTAAAGATAAGTATTTTCACAAACTACTTTAGGAGGAAATAAAGCCAAGCACAGCGGAATTCTACAATTCCAACAGGGTTGAATGTTAACAGATAATTAAAAATAAAGTTGTGCCCACAGAATTGGCCCCACCAACAACTGCTGAAATCTCCCTATTTTTTGAGAGGAAACATTCTCAAAATAATGAAGTCATACACACTCATACATTTGTTTGAAAATGCTGGCTTTCCATGTTGCACAGCAATTTTATGTACTACACAGGCACAGCTATAAAAAAATAAAATAAAAGAGTAAAGAGACAGAGCCCTTCTATGTGAGAGACACGTTTAGGATACATCAGTGATGCTCAGCAGTTACCAAAACACAAAAATCCCAGACAAGCAACTCTAGCTTTGTGTGGTTACTCTAATTTCATGAGTAGTTTTTCTGTGCCCTGCACTCATAATTAAGAAGCTCAGTCACTAACTTCAAACAGCACACGTAAGGAGCTACACAGAGAAGAACCAACCGTGTCTTGAATACACAGGGCTTTTGGAAACTTGGTGCCATTGCATTTGCTGCTCTGTTGGTAGCAAATGCCACTTGACCACCTACCTCTGGAATCGCCTGGGTCTGCGGTTCCTGAGCCCTACCTCCCACGGGGACAGCCTGCAGCTCATGCCTACACTTGGAGGCTCTGCCCTGAAGGGGACAGGAGCAGCCACCGAGTTGCAGCCATGGTGGGAGAGCAAGGTATCACAGTGACACACAGAAAAGGCCGAAAGAATCAAAGGAGAGTGTGACTGTGGTGGGGCTCGGCTAGGCACAAAGGCTGCAGAGAGGCTGCCTTCATAAGTGGGAAGGGGAGGGGAGGACACTGGCTGTTGTTACTACAGCTACATCCATTTCCCCCACAAAAGGAGCCAGTATGTCACTCACTCAAATGTGGAACCACCCAGGGAACAAGTCTAAACACAGGTTCCCAGGCTTCCCTCAGAGACCGAGTCAGCAGGTCTGAGCTGGTACCGCAGCCCAGGTAGCTGTGACAGGTGGGGCAAAAACCCCAGTATACACCGACCCAACACCCCTGCACGGCACCATCTGGGCCAAATGCAAGTCCTAGCGCCCAGGAAAGTCTCTTCTACAACGGAGTTTATCTCGGCAACCCACCATGGAAAGGGGTTCCTGGCTAGGAGTAGAGGGTCCTTTCTTAAGAAGCTCCCACAATCCAGGACACCACTCCTGCGTGGCCACGCATTGTCCTTTAATATATTTCCAATTTGCACAAGTTCAACTGAAAATATCTAAAACTGTGCTTTCCAGTACGGCGGCCACTAACCCACGCAAAACTGAGCTCCTGAGACGTGGCTACTGACACTGAGGAACTAAACATTGGATTTCATTCATATTAAACTTAAAAACTAATATTCAGTTCAGGTACTGGGAAACATTTTAATATTTTCAATGATAAATTTTAGGAACTCTAAATACAGATCAAATATATCCAATATATAGTAAGAAAGTAGGAGTGTAAATTTGCTAATATTTTTATATCGATGGCATGTTCAAATGTTATTATTTTGGGTTTATCTAGTTAAATATACTGTTAAAATAACTTCTCGCTTTTTTAAAGTGGCTATTAGGAAACTAAAATCACACGTGTGGCTCCCAGTGTGCGTCCAGGAGTCACTGATGACAGAGAAGAACTGAGATTCTGTAAATATGCATCAGCAGCACAGTTACCTGCCGGCTGCTGCGGGGGAGCCGCGCCAGCCGCACGCCGGACATATCGAACAATCTGACTTGTCGGTTGTCATGGGGGAGGGCGATGATTTTTTGGCCAACGCATACATTGATCCTGCAAAGAGACAAGAAGGTTCCATATAAAACAGTGACAGCACCAGGGTAGGGTATTCCATACCATGCACACTTCATGGCAAACACAACAGTGAGTATTACATGTCTGCAACTTTAGGATACAGAGACCAAGCTGCTTATATGCAACTCACATGTACAGCATGTCACTAAAACAGAGGGGCCGTAATGGGCTCATTTTTATTCTCAAAGCCCATTACACCAACCTGATTCTATACTTAAGTTTCAGTGTTTATAGATAATGAATTTGCATTAGAGGATCAATGACAAATATTTTCCCAGGAGTCTAAACCACTTTCCCAAGGTAATTGTCACATGTACAAGACATTGTACTACAATCAACCCTATCAAGTCAAATAAACATCTAAGCAATGTGCAGCTTCCCTCACCTGTTGATGGCAGAATCCGTACGAATGGTTGCAATGGGGGATCTCATGTTCTTTAAATCCCAGACCTTCACAGTGCGGTCGTCACTGCCTGAAACGACGTTATCTCCCACGGTGAACACGGCAGAGGTCACGGTGCTACAAGTAAAGGGCACAGGGTCAGAACTCATCTAGTGTTCAGCATGGTGACAACAGTTGGTACCATAACATGTTCTTGAAATTTGCTGGGAGAATGGATCTGAAATGACCTCACCACACCTGGGAGATGATAGATGTGCTAATTAATTTGACTGTGATCATTTCAGTGGAAACGTATATAGAACATCACATTGTATATCTTAAATATGCTCAATTTTTACTTGTCAATTATACCTCAATAAGAAGGAAAAAACTTTAAAGATAACAAGAAAGGTCAAGAAAACAATCTCACCATTCCAGACAACTCCGGCCCTAAATAACAGCTTCCCAGAATATTGAAGAGCCATATTTTTTCAGAGGCAAAAAAATTAACTACGAATAAATAATATCTTATATATAGAACCGTATCATTTCTCACAATAATTTCAAACTACTTTTATTTCTCTTAGAGCTTAAAACAAGAGATAAACTCGAATTTAGAAAACGCAGGTACTACCCAGACCTTAGGCCTAAAACTGCACCACCAGCGTCAAATCCATACTGAGTCCCTGTCAGGTGGGTTTCAACCCGGTACTGTCAACGTTCAGGTGACCACTGCTCATGGGGTGCCCTGTGCACCTGGGCTGAGCAGCCTCTACCTCTGCCCACCGACACCAGTCACATCTTCTCCCTAGGTGTTAAATCGCCCAACATCAGCCGCTGTGCTACACCTAAGGACACTGTGTGTGACACTGGCAGAAAGGGGGAAAGGGGAACCTGTAGCACCAGCCCAGTGACCCATTGGAACTCCCTATTTAAAAAACAATGCCAGAGCTTAACTAGAATGAGGTGCTGCTCCTCTTCCATGCAGAGGTCACAGCAAGGTGTAAAGAAACTGCCGCAGACCTCTGGGAGCAGCTCACGACTAGGGGCTGTTCTGAAGATTCTAGTCTTTAGAGGTTTGGGCCAAGTTAAACTTCACTTAACATTCTGCTAAATTAATGGGAAAAGTCTCCACAAAAGACCATCGAACCCTATGTTAATGAAACGCTCAAAGACATTAGGTTTTTAATAAATCACAGCCCTGACAGGTATTGTGGGCCATCAAAGGGAAAAGCTGGCACAGAGACAGCACCCTCAACTCAGGTCCCATAGGGAGCGGGCCACCACGGCCGCACACGGGAAAAGCTCAGACTCTGCCAGACTCCAGTAGACTCATTTATCTTGTCGCCGCGAGCAGCCGACCATGTGCTTCCAGCTGACAGTGCAGTACCTCCTCACCGCACACCACTGCCCGATCTGGAACATTCCGCTCCCTCTGAGGGTCTCAATCAACGGAAAGACTGTAATGCTAGCACTCCTCATTAGGACTAACAGCTGTCTTCCCAGTCACACAGAGACACAAAACTGTTTTGCATAACAATCTGCTGGAATTTCATGGCTAAGGAAAAAAATATATGATGTGGAAAATGCTGGCCCATGAAATGCTGAAGCAGGGTGCTTTCCTGGCTCCGAGTCAGGGCCTGACTGCAGAGCACCCATTTCTTACTGTAAGGTGTATTCCCTACAAAACAGAGTCATCCTTTTGCATCTGAGGTACAGACCAGAGCAGCGGTGAACCACTAGTGGTCCGTGAGTTCCAAAAGGTTGGTGACCGCTGGACTAGAGAACAGACACTCCATCCGGGAGAGAGAGGGCAGGGCACCCTTCCCTGGAACACAGGCTGCATCTCCCCAGTCCACAGAGCCATCTGTGAAAAGCCTATCAAGCAGCAACCAGTGTGGCCTTCTCAATGGCCATCCACCTGTTCAGGTGCACTGCAGTGTTGATGTGAACATGCAGGTCCAACACTTGTGTGTCCAGCAGAGGCTGATGTGACAAATGGACCTCAGCACTTTTCCACCAGCCAAGGTAGAGCTCACACACCTACACTGGAAACCTGCACACGTCACCTGACCCTGTCGTGGCCTCTGTGTACAAAGCCAGCAGATGACCACATTCCTTTCCAGGTCATCACCACTTCACAAGCTGTTTTAGAAATTAAGCATCTAACAGATGACACCATTCAGGAGACATGGCAGGATCCTGGAGAGTATGCCCTAATCAGGGCCTTTCCTACTGTGGCTTGGCGGAGTATAAGAAGCTCATGTCAGCCTGTCCTGTACAACCCCAGATACCTCAAAGAGAAACAGGAAACGTCTTCAAATAAACACACTTCTGAATATTCCTTGATGGCTAAGTCCCCAAAAAATAGACCCAAAGATAAAAAAAAAAAAAACATTCAAAGGAAGAGTCAAATTGTATCACACGTGATTCTTTTCCTGGACTGAAAATTCCACTCTTGAAAAATGATGTTCAGGTATCTACCACACCAGCCACTAAATATTCTCACTTGGTTGCTCTCCTCTCTACACCTCCCTCTTCAGGACAACCGGGAGATTTCCTTTCTAATTACTGAAAGAACTGTCTATCCGAGGAGGATTCAGAGCACTACGGTGTGCCAGGCCTGCTTTCTGTGAGAGAAACCCTAACAGAGAGGGGTGAAACCACTCCTGGTGATGCTGACACTCTAGTGGAGAAGATGGCAGTGGTCCTGGCTTTAAAGAAACACGCTGCAGTTTTAGGGCCTGCAGTCTAATTCTAGTGGCTGAAATGTGCTGCTGATTAAAAAAACAAAAACCCTGCAATGACCAGCTTTACTACTGACCAGAGAGAAGGGCTCTAAAAGTAGCTTTAAAAGTGTGTCAAGCCCTAGCTGGTTTGGCTCAGTGAATAAAGCGTCGGCCTGTGGACTGAAGGGTTCTGGGTTTGATGCCGGTCAAGGGCACATGCCTGGGTTGCAGGCTCAAACCCCAATAGGGGGCGTGCAGGAGGCAGCCGTTCCATGATTCTCTCTCATCACTGTTTTTCTCTCTCTTTCTTTCTCTCCCTCTCCCCCCACCTCTCTCCTTCTCTCTTTCCATTCCTCTCTGTGTGAAATCAATAAAAATATACTTAAAAAAAAAAGTGTGTCAAGCCCTAGCTGGTTTGGCTCAGTGGATAGAGCATCAACCTGAGAACTGAAAGGTCCCAGGTTCGATTCTAATCAAAGGCACATGCCCGGGTTGCGGGCTCGACCCCCAGTAGGGGGCATGCAGGAGACAGCTAATCAATGATTCTCTCTTATCAATGTTTCTATCTCTCTCTCTCTCTCCCCCTTCTTCTCTGAAATCAATCCTATATAATAAAAGGGTAATATGCAAATTGACCAAATAGTGGATTCACTGGTCACTATGATGCACACTGACCACCAGGGGGCAGATGCTCAATGCAGGAGCTGCCCCCTAGTGGTCAGCACACTCCCACAGGGGGAGTGCCACTCAGCCAGAAGCTGGCTCAAGGCTGGCAAGCGTAGTGGCAGTGGCAGGAGCCTCTCCCGCCTTGTCAGCAGCACTAAAGATGTCCACTGCCGGCTTTGGCCCGCTCCCTGTGAGTGGGCCTAAGCCGTCAGTCAGACATCCCCCAATGACTCCTGGGCTTCGAAAGGCCGCAGGCCAGGCTGAGGGAACCCCGCCCCCTCCTCGAGTGCACACACACACATACTAGTGGCCTGCTGCACGAAATTCGTGCACATTAAAAGGGAATTAACCAAAAACCGGTTTGGCTTGGTGGATAGAGCGTCGGCCTGCAGACTGAAAGGTCCCAGGTTCGATTCCAGTCAAGGGCATATACCTTGGTTGCAGGCACATCCCCAGTGGGAGGTGTGCAGGAGGCAGCTGGTCGATGTTTCTCTCATCGATGTTTCTAACTCTCTATCCCTCTCCCTTCCTCTCTGTAAAAAATCAATAAAAATATATTTAAAAAATAAATAAAAATTAAAAATTAAAAATTAAAAAAAAGGGAATTAATTAGAGGAAAGAAAATTAGTAAAATGTATATAAAAATCTTCCTCCTGTCAGAGTCTGGGATACACCACGGGACCCAGAGTCAAGTCCCCTCCCACCCCTGTGCACCTCGAAATCGCGCGAGACCCAGACCAGCGGGCCCCAACCCCATTGGGCAAGATCCAGACCCGGCGGGTCCCACCCCCGTCAAGCCCCACTGTGCGGGGGGCACAGCCTCAGGTCTGGGTCTCCTGCGTTTTCGGAGCATGTGGAGGGGGCGGGGGGGAGGGGCAGCGACTTGACTCTAGGTCCCACGGCGTGCCCCAGACTATGAAAGGAGGGAGATTTTCATACACATTTTACTAATTTTCTTTCATCTCTGACACTTCTATTATAGAGAAAGGGCAAATAGCAATATTAAAATATTTCATCTAATTAATTCTCTTTTAATGTGCACAAATTCTGTGCACTGGGCCACTAGTGTGTGTGTGTGTGTGTGTGTGTGTATATACATATACGTGTGTATATATATGCATATCTTCGTGTGTGTGTGTGTGTGTGTGTGTGTGTGTGTGTGTATGCCTAGGTGACAGTTACAACCACTCAACCGGTTGCTATGACAACACACTGACCACCAGGGGGCAGACGTTCAACACAGGAGTTGCCCCATGATGGTCAGTGCACTCCCACAGCCAACCTCCTGCAGTCGGTCAACCTCCTGTGCTCCCTCCCCCCAGCAATTGGGGCGGGCTGGTCAACCTCCCACGGTCCCTCTCTCTGGCTATCTAGCCCCAATCAGCCCCAATCAGCCCCGATCACCGGCCAGGCCAAGGGACCCCATCCGTGCATGAGTCTGTGCACCAGGCCTCTAGTAAAAATATATTTTCTTAAAAAAAGTGTGTGTCAAAACAGTACGTTCAGTTAACTTGGCTAAATTCTCTTCCTTAGTATCCTATTAATTAAGAACCTTTTGCCATAACCGGTTTTGCTCAGTGGATAGAGCGTCAGTCTGCAGACTGAGGGGTTCCAGGTTCGATTCCAGTCAAGGGCATATACCTTGGTTGCGGGCACATCCCCAGTGGGAGGTGTGCAGGAGGCAGCTGATCAATGTTTCTCTCTCATCGATGTTTCTAACTCTCTATCCCTCTCCCTTACTCT